ACAATTTGGCAGTGTTTTCGCTTTATGATCTTTTGAGCTTCGAGCTCTTTTTATGGCGTTAGGATTTACGCGTAATGAGAAATATTGGTGAAATTGCAAATATAACGACGAGTGCGCGTGTCGGATAATTTTCGCGTGATTCAGGAGATCACATTTATCTTGTCGGCTTTTACTTTATGCGTCTCGAGGACTCATTTAATCTTTATCGAGTAACTTTGGTTACTTGGATCGTTGTTTTGTTGTTTTCGGGCACTTTGGGACCCTTGCACGTTTTGTTGATCATTTCAAGCTTTGGCCTGACGTATTTACGATGATCACGCTTTTTAATCTTTTGGCGAGTTGAGTCAGTTTGAGAGAATGAGCAATTTTGCGAATTTTCTATTGGATGGGGCCTGCGCGGCCTGGTCGGGTAATTTGGTACCCGTTTTAATGTAGGAATGCATTTTGAATTGTCAACATGAGTGAGCTTAGAGCTCTTTGTTCGATTGAGCTTTGAGCTCTTTATTTCTTACGAGACTGTATGCATAATGCGATCACATGAGGAATGCGTGAATGTATGATAAATGTATGTGATGAATGTATGTGATGAATGTATGATGAATGTATGTGATGAATGTATAATAAATGAGCGCACCTTGTCGCATATCTAGTTGGGCCGAACTGTTTTTAGAGTTCGGTTTCTAGTTTCAGGGCACTTCGGCCTTACGGCTCGTAGGGCTTTAGTTATACAGCATTTCGGCCTTATGGGTCGAAGGCCGTTAGTTTTACGGCATTTTGGCCTTATGGCTCGTAGGCCTTTAGTTTTACGGCATTTCGGCCTGATGGCTCGTAGGCCTTACGTTTTACGGCGTTTCGGCCTTATGGCTCGTAGGCCTTTAGTTTTACGGCGTTTCGGCCTTATGGCTCTTAGGCCTTCAGTTTTACGGCGTTTCGGCCTAATGGCTCGTAGGCCTTTAGTTTTACGGCCTTTCGGCCTTATGGTTCGTAGGCCTTTAGTTTTATGGCGTTTCGGCCTAATCGGGCCCCTTTGTTGAGCCCGGTTTGTGCAATTTATTGCACTAATGATTACGATGGCGCATTACCCATTCGATCCGCTCGCAGGGTCGGGTGGTGGTTTGGCCTGGCCGAGCTTCATGATCGAGCTTGGCACTTATTTATTACCTTTTTTACGTTGGCGACTGTGGCCGACCGGGCTACGTGACTGAGCCCGGCTTGTGCCGATCGAGTCATCGTACTGATCCCGACCTGCACAAATTTATTACTTGGCCGAGCCTCGTGATCGGGCTCGGCATTTATTTATTACTTTGGCGTGTTACCTGTCCGACTTGCTCGTTGAATAAGGCGATGGTCTGATTGGAGCGAGGGCTCAATGGCGGGTGAAGTAACGGCGTCAGCCCGGCAGAGCAGGGGCTCATCGCCGGACTGGACGGAGACGTCGGCCTAGCCGGAGCGAGGGCTCAATGGCGGACGAAATAACGACGTCAGTCAGGCAGAGCTGGAGCTCATTGCCGGACTGGATGGAAACGTCGGCCTGGCCGGAGCGAGGGCTCAACGGAGGGCAAAATAGCGGGCAAAATAACGACGTCAGCCCGGCAGAGCAGAGGCTCGACGCCGGACTGGATGGAAACGTCGACCTGGCTGGAGCGATGGCTCGACGGCGGGCGAAATAACAACGAGGCTTGAAGGTCTCGTGACTTTTCGAGACAGAAGTGTTAGAGGAATGGTCATGCCTATCCCGAAGGCTTGCAGCAGACCAACTTCCTCCAATCCTTCCCGTCTCGGCTCGATTTTCACGAATGAGGTTCGGTATATATCTTATTCATGTATTTGTACATACACGTATGCATATGCACTATTTATTTATTTTTATGATGTTATTATTTATGTATGTGTATGTATACACGATATATATATATATATATATCTATACATATGTATATGTATTTGAAACGAAATTGAGAGTAGGATTACCTTGGGCCGGCGCGGAGTCGGTTCTTCTTTTGCCTTTATTCTTTAAGTTCCCACCGAGCTTCTCGACTTTGAGATTTTTTGGTCGCTTGTCAGTTGGGACGCTGTCATCCCTAATTCTATTTACTACATCTGTTCTATCTATTATAACATTTTTTAGGGCCCCTACCTTTACATTTTTAACAAATTCATTCACAAGCCTACATATTCACTATCAGGCCGAAGACTTCTACATTTTGCAAGGAAAACAAAATAAAGTCACAAGTCTACACCTTTGCTACCAGCCCAACTCTAATCACATCTTGGGCCACATCTAGCACAAGCCCAAACCAATAATAGTTTAATTAGGTCGGTCTACCTTTTTTGTTCCGTCTCCCACCTCATTCGCAATCGCCGACGCATTCTCCCTTTTACTCTCTCTTTTTTTTTTGTTTGAATCTCGCGTTGTTCGTGGCGAGATAAAGGCAATAACGGCAAAGGTTGGTGTTACGCTGGGATTCGGCAGCGACAGGGAGGATCGACGCTGAAGGTTCGATGTCCGAGAGCGGCGGTTTAAAGGGAATTCTGGCCCCGGCCGTGAGGTCAGGTCGGCGGTTGCGATTGAGGTCGGAAATTTAGGCATGGTCGGCAGTGGCGGCGACTGAGAGGGATGAAGATGTGTCTGATTGAATCTGGGGACGGCAGCGACGAGTCTGTGTCCTGGTCTGCTCGGCGGCGGCAGCTCGGCGTCTGAATTCGAGGTCGGCATCTCCAATTGACAGCGGTGACTCACGATCTTGGCGTTTGAAGCGGAGGTCAGCTGCGGCTAGGCGGTTGAATCCGAGGTCGGCATCGCCAATTGACAGCGGCGACTCACGATTTTGGCGTTTGAATCGGAGGTCGGCGATTTAGGGAGCGGTTGACCGCGGTTGGAGTCGAGGTTCGGAGCTGGCCGACAATTGTGACGCGGTTGACCGCGGCCGGGGCTGAGGTTAGGAGTTCGACTCTGAAAGTCGTCGGTGGACGTCGAGTACGGGCCTTGGTTTGTGGTCGGCTCGATAGTTGGGTGAGGTCGGATCTGCCATGGTGGTGCTAACCGGGCAGTGGTGCCGACCGGTTGTCGTGGCATTGGAGAAGAATATGTCAGCCCGGCACTTGTGGTTTATTCGGGTCGGGCTTCGGTGTGGAGGCGGCCCGAATGCGTGAGGTTGTCCCACTAAGGCGAATCAGCCCGGCACCTGCGACGTGAGGTCGTCTGGCATTGGTGAGGAATACATCAGCCCAGGAACTCGCGGTTTGTCGGGTCGGGCTTTGGTGGTTGATCGGTGGCCCGACTGTGAAAGGTCCAGTCCCGGCGACTGAGGTCGGAGATGCCGAGGTTTCGGCAAGTCGAGGTCGGTCCCATCGGGTTAGTTTCGACAAGGTCGGACTTGAAGGTTTTGGAGTTCGAGCTCGGCGTCGGGATGCAACTATGGTGTGATGGCAGGTCGACCTGTGGGCCGTAAAGCCGGAGGGGTCGGGGGCGGCATGTCGAGGTCAGCCCGGCGGTTGTGACTTTGAAACTTGCCCGGCGACAAGGGAGTGAGCTCAGCCCGACATCTTCTTTGTGTCTGCTCGGACATCGGTGCTGCGCCAAACATCCTCTTTGTGTCGGCCCGGACATCGGTAAGGAGGCACCTACTGAAACCGCTGTGATTTCTGCTGATGTCCTTTCCTTTTTTTTTTTTTTNTAGAGACGTGGTTTTATGTGTCCAAGTGGTGCAAGTTGTCCACTTTAGTTTAGTAAAAAAAAAGAAAAGGGAAATGAAAAAGAAAAAAAAAAGGGAAAAAGCTTTGCGTGAAATTGCAGCAGCTTCAGCCTCCATTGTCCCAGTAGGGAAACCAAAGAAAAAGGATAAAATTAGAAGTTCTCGGGTGGGCTTTCTTCTCCTCGTGAAGAGCTTGAGAGCCTCAGGGCGTGAAAATAGCTTTTAATTCCCATGTCTTGAAGATTTATGATAAAAACGGAGGAAAAAGGTTTGTGATTTTTATTATTTTTATTTTTATTTTCGGGATGAACATATAATGATGTAGAGATATATATCCATGGAAAATGGGAGAAATAAACGTAGAGAAAATTTTGATGAAATCATGAAAGACAAACTTGGTGGAAAATGTGTTTTCCGGTTGAGATGTGGCCGTTTTCCGGCGAAAATTGACTCCGAGCAAATTACGGAGCCCTCCTTCTAGCGCCAAACTGTTGATGTCAAAAATCGGACGACCAACTATAGAATATAAGTCGAATTTCTCGTAGGAAATTGAAGAATAAAATTGATGAAAAAATGGTGTTTCTTATTATTTTGAGAGTATATCTCTCTCTCTCTCTCTTGTGTTGTGTGGAAAGGAAAAATGAAGAATGAAAGGGAAAAAGTCCCTTTCTCTCTCCTCTCCATTCCATATATATATACATCCCTCACTTTTACAAGTGGATCATTCCATAAGTAAAAACGGTACATCATTATTTAAAGGAGATAATCATCGTGGGGCCCACTTATGACGTTTGACGGCTTCGATTGACGTCTATCTGAGGTGGCTTCTGGCTGATCAGTCTCGAGAACCTGTTTGTATATTTATTTATTTCGTATTGTCGGCTCATTGATTATCTGGCCGTATTTTATTATTTTATTTATCAGTTATTTAATTGGAGCCAAATTGGGTATCAACACTTTTCTTAGAGCAATTAGTAAAAAAATCAGGTTAAGTAATTAGTGAATTTGAATGGAAATTTGAGATTTTGAGTTGCTGTCAAACTTCAAATTCCTCACAGTCACAAGCACTTGTTTAATTTCATGTTTATTTCTAATTTCTATCCTTCATAGAATGTGGTTAAATATTGATATTTATTTTGTAATGTGGTATGAATCATTGAAATCAAAGTTCTTGATTTATAACTGTATTCATGTTTTACCATATCAACATTCAACAGGTATGTCTAGCCCCCTTTTCAGTTCCAATCAAGGTTCAACAGGTATGGAGCAAATGAATGAAGTTGATATGGAAGAAAATCCAGATGTATGAGTGAGGAAGAGCTTGCAGTTATAGATGAAGACAAAGAGCAGACCTACCCGAAAGGTGAAGGTGGAGATAAACCGTTTGAGAAAAAGAAACGAGGAAAGACGTCAACGGTGTGGGATAATATATATGGAAGTCGTAACGCTAGAGAATGGAACAAAAAAGGTGAAATGCAACCACTGTAAGTCATTGTTTGCAAAGGGTGAAACTGGAACTACATCTCAGTATAAGCGTCATCAAGCATCATGTCTACAAAGGCAATTGAACTCCGGATTTCAAAACAAGATGACGCAACAGGTTTTGCCGTTTTTAGAAGGTCAAACTGATGGTATCACTTCTATTACCAATTTCTCATACGATCATGCAAAGGTGCGAGAGCTTGCATCTCATATGGTATTAGTGCATGAGTATCATTTTCTATGATGGATCATTATGTTTTCAACAAGTTCATGAAAGCTGCAACTCCATTTTATAAAAAGATTACCGTCAGCAGGTAAAAGAAGATTGTTATACAACTTATCAGATAGAAAAAAGAAAGCCGAAAATTCTCTTAAAGGGTGCTAGCCGGGTTTCTATAACTACCGATTTGTGGAAATCTGGTCAGAAAATTCAATACATGGTTGTGACAGGGCATTTTGTTGATTCTGATTGGGTGTTGCAAAAACGTGTTTTGAACTTTTGTAATGTACCGCCTCCACATACAAGAATCATTATAGCTGATGCATTAAGTAAGTGTTTCATTAATTGGGAGATTCAGAACAAAATTTGTAGCATCACCGTCGGCAATGCTTCCTATAATGATTTGTGTATCAAGAGACTTAAAGAGGATTTTGCTTTAAGAAAGAAATTAAGTATTCGTGGAAAAATATTTCATGTGAGGTGTTGTGCTCATATACTTAATCTGTTAGTAAAAGATGGCTTGAAGAACATTGAAAATGTGGTTGATGTCGTTAGAGATGGGATTAAGTACTTGAATAATTCAGAGTCTCGCCTCATTCAATTTGCAAAAATTGCAAAACAATTGCAGTGTCCTTCTAGAAACTTAATTTTGGATTGCCCAACTAGATAGAATAGTGCATATCTCATGTTGACCTCGGCTTTAGAGTTTAAGAATGTTTTTCCGAGGTATAAGGATATTGATGTTGGGTTTAGTTATGTTCCAGATGTATACGAGTGGGCCGAAGTGGAATAAGTATGCAAATTTCTTGGTATCTTTTATGAAATCACTAACATGATTTCAGGATCCGACTATCCAACCTCTAATCTTTTTCTTGTGGAGCTTTATAGGGTTAAAGAGTTTTTAAAAGAAAAGGCTTTAGATGAATCTGAGCACATCAGGGCTATGGCCTCGGATATGGCATTGAAATTCGATAAATATTGGGGAGAGTGTAATGTGTTGTTGTCATTTGGTGCTATTCTAGATCCGAGGTATAAAATGGTACTTATTAATCATGCTTTACGCTATGGAAAAAGCCGCTAAAATTAATGAGCTTCTTTATGAGCTTTACAATGAATATGTTGATGCTCATATGTTGTCTTGTGCCGAAGAACCAACAAAGAAGCACGTAAAGCGAAAAAAAAAATGAGATTGGCTCTTCTTCTGTTCAAGTTCACGGAGGTAAGAAACCTGGAGTTAATGTTCTCACTGGTAGGGAAAAGTTTATGTTACTTGTGAGTGAAATTGATAGAGCCCCCCCAGAAAAATCAAATTTGGATTTGTACCTAGAAGAAGGTCGATACATTTGTGATGCGTCCGCTAATCTTGATGTTTTAGCATGGTGGAAGGGAGGAGCGTATGAGATTTCCAATATTATCAAAATGGCATGTGATATTCTTTCAGTACCAGTTACAACTGTGGCCTCCGAGTCTACCTTTAGTGCTGGTGGTCGAGTAATTGATGATCAACGAGCTACTTTGACGGTCGAGACTGCGGAAGTACTACTTTGTGGTAATGACTGGATCCGGAATCATTATTGGTTGAAAACCAGGCCTCGTGGAAGTGTAATAAACATTCTTAAATTGATTTTCAAACAGAATTTTTACCTTTTTTTATATCTGTTTTTGTGTTAGTATAATGACTTGTTTATTTTTATTTTTGTAGGTTGAAATGGATGTTTCTGAATCGTCAACATATCATGAAGTTGAACTTCCTCAGGCTTCATCAAGTGGGTGGCAGACCTGCTAGTTTTTTGGCATGGAAACCTTTTTGCAAGATGTTTTTATTCAGTGAAACCTTAAAAAACAATGGATGTTAATTGCAGTGAATGTTTTTTGGCATTGAAACCTTTTTAATGTGTTGTACTCAATTTGGACAATATGTACTAAAATTTGGTTGTGTTTCTATTCATTGTGTTTTGTAATATTTATGTTTGGAGGACGGAACTTAATATTATGTTTTGTAGTATTTATGTTTGTATTATGGGACTTAAAATTATGTTTTGGACTTTCAGCTATTTTGAAATTGTGAGGACACCTGATATGGGTCAAAGACCTCATTAATGACTCAGGACAAGGATGGATAACATGGTTGGTCAAACAGCTCTACAATGACAATGGCAGCAATGCCATACTCAACATTCACACACTTAAGCCTGGTCAGGAAGATAGGAAGTATTGGAAGCATAGCAAGAAAGGTGAATTTTCTGTCTCAAGCACTTACTCCTTTCTGGTTCATAATAAATTGCTTGCACTAGACATTCCAACCAGCAGCAACACCACTGCTAAGTCTCTCTCCAAGTTAAACCAGAGACTGTGGAAACTGAAAGTGGTAAACAAAGTCAAGATTTTTATATGGAAATGCATTTCTGGAGCACTCCCAGTCAAAACCAAATTACTGAGTAGAGGAATGAAATTGGATGTGATCTGCAGCATGTGTGGCAAGGAAGGTGAGACTATTAACCATGTGCTATTCAACTGTCAAAGAGCTGAGAGGTTATGGGCCATTGCTCCCATTTCCTGGAATTATATGCCAATTCAGAACTCTTCCTTTAGTAGCTGGTGGCATTACATTTGCTCTGTGGGTTCAACCGAGACATCAGAAGCTAGGATCCAACTCACTACGTACATACTCTGGTGGCTCTGGAAGACTCGCAACCTATGCATTTTTCAAGATGTCAGAATACCAGTCCAAACTACATTGAAAATGGCGCACCAAGATTGGCTTCAGTTTGTTAATCTTTAGTTTCTGGTTATGTTAGTTTTTGTTAGTCTTTTGTTATTTTTGTTTGAACTTCTCACATCTAGGCCGTTGGCAGTGGATTGTGATTGCTAGTTTGTTTAGCTGATTTGTTGAGGTTCTAGGCCGCCATTGGTGCGTGTCCTCTCATGTTTTTATTTCGGGTTTGGCCTGTTCATGTTGAGCGTTGTTCCTTTTGAGTATATNCTTTTTTGAAATTGTAATTGAGTTACAATTTTTGCCTACTTGTAATTTTCTTATTTTAGGTACATTAGAAATTTTTACAAGAAAGTACAAAAAATATAATTTACAGGATTTTCGAGCTCGAGCCGAGCTTTAACGAGTATAATCTCATCAGACGAGTCGAGCTCGAGCTTGTATAGGTAACGAGCCGAATCGAGCTTCACATGCAGCTCGTTAATCATATCGAGCGAGCTCGAGCCTAGCTCGAAAAGAGATCGAGCCGAGTGAGAGTATCAAGTACTAGGGCTCGGCTCGGCTCGTCTATAGCTCTACCGCCACGCCACGTGGATTTTCTACTTGCAGCAGTTCACGTTCGTGTTAAAGCACCGGTAGGGGACTTCTAATCGTATGGCCGACGCACTTGATCGTCGTTCTCTTTTGTTTTCGGGCATGCGTATCTCGGTGGTGGGGTTCGATTTGTTGCGTGATCTTTATGCATTGAACGTGTTCTTCGGCCCGATTGTCACACGTTTGGCGACAGGTCCTTTTGAGGATTTTCTTCTTGCCGATGGGTTTCTTTTCCGGGGCGTGCGAATGTAATTAAAATATAATACTTGGCATAATAATCATACATTTTTGTTTTAAAGGTATGATCATTACTCTAAATAAAATTGCCACATTCCAACAAAGAATTCTTCAATGGAAATTTCAACGGATATTTTAATAGTATAACTTCTGTTAGAATGATTTCAATGGATATTCCAATGAAAATATTTCATTGGAATAAATTTCTATTGGACTTTTAAATGAAATAGTGAGTCTAACAACTATTTTGCAACGATTTTTACTATAGAAATTTACCGACAAAATAATTAAATTCCATCTACCCATCTAAATACTAAGTTGTTTCTATGAGCTGAATATGTTGTTGGTTAATGCCCAGGTTAGACACATCTCTTTATTCTCTTCTGACCACAAGTTAGTGCTCTTGAGTACTAATGAGTGTGTGATTAAGAAGAAGAAAAAGTTTATGTTTGATGCCAGATGGGTTAATAGAGAAGGTTTTGAGGAGGCTGTTAGGAGGGGGTGGAATATTCATGTTCCAGGCCCTGCCCTGTTTAGTGTGTAAAAAAGATTGAAAAATGTTAAAGATAGTTTACTGGGCTGTTTAGGTAGTACTCACTCTAATTCTGCTCTGCTTATCTCTGAGCTTAAGGATAAATTAGTTTCTATAGAGCAGTTAGGTGGGCTGAGGGATTGGGATGAGTGGGGTAGATGTAGGAAGTTGCTGCACCAGGCTTATAGTGATGAGGAGCTGCTCTGGAAACAGAAAGCTAGGTTAAGCTGGTTAAAAATGGTGATAGGAATACCAGATATTTTCAGGCTAGTGTAGGCAGAGGAGAAAGATTAACTCTCTTGATAATTTAAAAAGAGTTAATGGTAGTAAGTGTGAGACTGAAGGTGATATTGTGAATGAACTTAATAGGTACTTTGAAGAGCTTTTCAGATCTTCTAACCCCATTGTGGATAACTGTAGGTTAGAGGGAATCCCAGTTTCTATTAGTGCTGACATGAACACATTGCTAATCAAAGAGGTTTCTGTCTCTGAAGTTGAAAAGGCACTAATGGAAATGGAACCCCTCAAAGGTCCTGGTATTGATAGGTGGAATGCTATATTTTTTCAGAATTCTTGGGGTACCATTAAGGATCATCTGTTTAATGTTGTCTTAAACTTTTTTCAGAAAGGGAAAATGCCTAAGGGTCTTAATCATGCTACCATTACTCTAATTCCTAAGAAAAAAAACCCTGATAAAGTTTCTGCGTATAGGCCCATCAGTTTGTGTTCAGTGATGTACAAGATCATTTCTAAAGTAATAGCTAACAGACTGAAACTTGTTCTTAATGATTGCATATCCCCTACTCAATCTGCTTTTGTGTCTGGTAGATACATCATTGATAATGCTGTTATTGCCAATGAATGCATACATTTTCTTAATAGCAAAAGAAAAGGTAAAAACAGCTATATGGCTATTAAACTTGACATGGCCAAGGCTTCTGACAGAGTTGAGTAGGATTTTTCGGCTAGGGTTTGTAAAAAAATGGGATTCCATGAACAGTTCATATCTTGGATTTTAGCCTACATATGTTCTTCATCATTTCCTTTAATGTGCATGGCACTCCTTCAGGTTTTGTTCAGCCTACTAGGGGTCTTAGACAGGAGGATCCTTTATCCCCCTATCTATTCATCATCTTGACTGAAGCATTTTCCAATCTTATTAAGCAAGCTTGTATGAGGTCTGAGTTTCATGGTCTTAGAATTAGCAAACATGCTCCTTTGATTTCACATTTGTTCTTTGCTGATGATTCTATTTTGTTCTGTAAAGCCTCTGTGTCTCAAGCTTTTTCTATTCTGAATATTTTGGATGAGTATGGGACGGCTTCTGAGCAACTTGTGAATATGGATAAGTCTTTCATTTTCTTTTCCAAAAATACACATCCTGAGACTGCTGCTGAAATATGTAATATATTGAATGGGATTTCTAGGGTTCACTCTTCCAAATATCTGGGACTGCCTTTGGGCATTGGAAAAAAAAAAAAAAGAGAAATTTTTCAGTTTATAAGTGAGAGAGTCACTCAGAGAGTGCATAGTTGGAAAAATAATATTCTTAGTGAGGCTGGGATGGAAGTTCTCATAAAATCTGTCCTTGATGTTCTTCCTACATATATCATGTCTTGTTTTAGGATCCCTGTCTCCATTTGCAAACAAATATGCTCTGAAATTGCTAAGTTTTGGTGGGGGAATAGTAGGGGAGGGTAAGAATAGAATCCACTGGGCTTCCTGGGAGAAGGTAGCTAGACCTAAGGAGAGAGGAGGGTTAGGTTTTAAGGATCTTAGAGTGTTCAATGAAGCTATGCTTGTTAAACAGTTGTGGAGATTGATAACCAAGCCTAATCTTCTAGTGAGTAGAGTGATGAAGGGTAAGTATTTTTGGAAAGAAAATTTTTGGGAGGTTAAAGCCAAACACTCTGATTCTTGGCTCTGGAGAAGCTGGTTAGAAGCTAGGAAATCTCTTAGGTTAGGGGCTACATTTAGAGTTGGGGATGGGAGCTCTTTGCAAATTTGGAAGTCTCCTTGGTTGCCTGTTGACTATCATTTCATTCCTGTCTGTCCTTTTCCTAGTGATTTGGGTAGGATAGAGTATGTTAAAGAGCTTATCTGTGGTGATTTTAAGGAATGAGATGTAGAGTTGATTAGATAAACATTTAACCCTGAAGATATTAAGATCATTATCCAAATCCCCTTAGCCATTGTCTACAAAGGGACAAACTTATTTGGCACTGGCATCCCAAAGGTGAGTTGACTGTGAAAAGTGTCTATGAGTTTTTAATGAATTGGCAGGCAAAGAGAGAGGCTAGTTCAAGTAGCTCTGATTCAAGTGCAAAGAAAATGTGGAGGGTAACATGGGGGCTGCCTATCAAAGGTAAAATAAAAAATTTCATTTGGAAATGTTGGTTTGGGTTTCTAAGCTCTGGAGTTCAGTTGGAAAAAAGGCAAATCAAAACTCATGTGTGGTGTCCAATTTTTGGTGAAGATAGAGAGGATCTTGAACATATTTTATTCTACTGTAAAAGGGCTGAACTTTGTTGGAAGTTGATTGGGATGAGTTGGGATACCTTAGAACAGCATAGAGCTATATTCAAAGATTAGTGGTTTGATATCTGCTCTAAGGGTATAGATGAGTGCTTAAAGGATAGAATTAGAGTCTTTCTTGTTACCTTTTGTGGTGGCTTTGGAAGACTAGGAATGTGTGGATCTTTGAACAAAAAAGGATTGCTAAACACATTGTGGTTGATAGAGCTGTGGAAGAATGGTTAGAATTCTCTAAGGTACTTAATGATAAGGAGAGACCTGTGACTGTTAAGGAGCAAACTCAAGCTGAGGAAGTGGGAGATCTGAGGTTGGGGGTAGGACAGCTTCTTGTAGCTGTCAGTGCCCTATCTTCTACTTCTGGATGGCTGAGCTTTGGTGGTGGAGTTGTCAGCAATGGTACATTCTCACAACAATGGTCAGAATCTATTTCTTTTAAAGGCAGCAGAGAGGAAGGTTTACTCAGAGGAGTGCGGTGGATTCTGGAGAAAGCAGCACAACTCAATGTTCAGGCCATTTGTTGCTGTGTGGAAGATAGGAGGCTTGCATCCAAACTCAATGACAGTCTGCTATTTAATTGTGAGTGTGGCATTATTGTTGATGATATATATGTAATAGTTTCTTATTTTGTTTCTTGTAAGTTTGTTTTTATTCCTTCAGTTAGTAGTTCTTGTTTAGGATTAGCCAAAGTGGCTTTGGAGGGGCTGTAATATATTCACATCCCCGGTTCAAGGGGGTCTGTTGTTTAGGTTTCTCGTTTGTATGGTCATTTGGCCAATCGGTTGTACTACTCTTTGAGGTTTAATGTATTTTGAGTTGATTGCGGAAAAAAAAATAACCAATATGAAAAGATTAAAAATTGAAAATCTGATACTAAAAAAAATAAATCAAAATTACTACAATTTATTATTGTAGTTACTAATTATTTTGANAAGGGGGAAAAATCTATGAGAATTTGTGTTGTAATGAAGGAAGATAAAAGAAAAAGAAAAAGAAAAGGAAGATAAAATAAAATGATAACCTTAACGGTTATCTAGCTTAATTACTAAAAGTCATTGATAATGTTTGAATAACAAGGAAATGCATAATATTGAAAACTCAAACAATGATGGATAGACTTAATTTGAATGGATGGACTTTCGGAGAATCGCCTAACATATCATTGCTCGAGTGTGTGCTTCTTTTTGACCTAAGGGATTTGTCCAATTACATTGGTTATCGTTTGAATATGTGAGTCACTTGTTATGATTAACAGTGGTTATATACTACGATTAATAAAGGCTTTTAAGATTCACCATTTTTTTTAATACTCCTGCCTCTTTCAAGGGAGGCGTATTGTAAACAGATTTTGTAAAATGTGTTTGGTAAATATATAAATTAACATATAACTTATTTGATTAACTTATAAACTCTGTGTATACAAATAAATTTAGTTTGGTAGGACAATTTTTTTAAAAAAGTTTGATCTTATTTTATAAATTTTCTTGCGTAGCTTTTTAAATAAGTCAATTGAAATTTTTATTTCACCTATTTATAAAGTTTATAAAACTTTAAAAAGTTTTAGAAGATGCTTGGATACAAAATATATTAAAAAAAATTCAATCATTTTTAACTCAACTACTTTTTTAATTCAACTTTAACTCAACCCCACTATCATCAATATTATCAACATAATTAAAAAATATCAATCAATCATTCTTACATACCACATTAACCTTAATTCACTATTCATCCACTCACATAATTTTAACTAACCATCACTTCAAGTAATCTCTTCCCTACTTTTACATCAAATCAACTTTAATTATTTTATTAAAAATATTATTTTAATATACCCATTAACAACTTCATACCACCTTTTTCAAAATTAACCAAACCAAACTAAAAATTCAAACAAATCAAAAAAAATTTATATCCAAGCTAGAGACTGATAAAAGTGCTTTCTTTGTGGATTATTTTTGTTCATGCTAGCTCTGATAAAAGGGAGATGGAGGTACAGTGGAGGATTTAAGAGGCCGAAAGGGCTTATTGGGGAGCAATTGGTTGTTGGGGGTTGATTGGAATGAAACTTGTGATCATAGTGAAATAAGAGGATGGAGGAAGAAAGCTGTTGTTGAGTATACAGGGTTTAACGATTTCATTTCTGGGATGGGGATCCAGAAGCTGAAATTGGTGGGACATAATTTTACCAGGGGAAATAATAGAGGTGATGAGGGGTTTATTGAAGAAAAGATAGACAAAATCTTTGGTTCATTTGGTTAGCTGCACGACAATCAGCATGCAGAGGTGGAGAATATTTATAGGAACTCCTCAGATCACAGACTGTTCATATTGAATGACAATTCAGGTAGTACTAGTAAAAGGCAACGATGGTTTGTTTTTTACAAGAATATCAGATCAGACCGGTAGAAAGAGAAAGGGAAAATTAATGAGAAATTGGAAGAGATGAGCAAATCAGGTGTAAAGCCCCGTTAATTTTTAAAGAAAAATACCGAATTTTTCCAAAAATCAGAATTAAATTTTCGCAAATCATTTTGTAAACATTTAACGGGCATTACTCAATCAATCATCGATTTATAAGCTTAAGATCCAACTCAATCCATTGCGAATAAACTATTACAAATTCACATAATCCACCAAACATAATTTAGCATGCTCAATAATAATATCATAACAACATCGATTACAAATCCAATTAAAAACATTCATAATAATCAGTGTTAGAATATCACTTGTGAGTTGTCCCACATCGTTCATACATGGAAAATAGACCCACTTTATAAGTCTAATGGGCTACTCCACTTTCCACCAATTGGTTTTGGGCTGGAACCCCACTTGGACTTTATCTGCGCTTTTCCCCGTTTTGGTGCGCTTCATGTTAGTAGGCCCGCACCAGTTTTCTTCCAGTTTCTTACATGGTATCAGATTCGGTTCTATTGGTGACCGTGCAAGGACGTACCCGTCACCCAGCTAGTTGGACTAGGGCTTTTGAAGGACCCACAAGTGAGGGGCGGTATTAGAATATCCCTAGTGAGTTGTCTCGCATTGTTCATACATGGAAAATAGACCCACTGTATAAGTCTAATGGGCTACTCCACCTTTCACCAATTGGTTTTGGGATGGAACCCCACTTGGGCTTCATCTGGGCTTTTTTCCGCTTTGGTGCGCTTCATGTTAGTGGGTCCGCACCAGTTTTCCCCCAGTTTCTTACAATCAATTTCAAATCCAACATTTCAAATTAATAATAACAGTCTGGAAACATGATATCAATGATAAATAGCGGAAGCAAAAATAACAGTGAAATAATCAAGCAGTATGACCTCACTCGCCCGTTTTGTGCCGCTGCCCCCAGCTCAACCTGAAAACGGGGAAATAGTGGGAGTGAGCGACCAACATGCTCACTGTGGGAATGTCATGCAGTCTATTCAATATAATGACTTAAAATCATAATCGCAACATGAACATAATCATCTAGTCTACCTCCTATACAGCCCCACGCTCATGTGATCACATCTAAACCGTCCAACAACAGGAGTTAAACCGTCGGACCCACATCCACGAAAGATACACTCTCATTAGGCATAACTAGGAGAGACGTCCACCAATGGGAGATACACTCTCGACTAATGATTCACATACATACATTGATTATCAAACCAAACAATTATAGAGAATAACATACACGGTAAGGTTTATCAACACCCGTCTGTTCCGACGACAAGAAGATATCACATAACAGCTCGGTAGGTCGGTGAAGCTCGACTCCTCAAGAACCTACATTTAATCAAGATAATATCTCATGAATAATTATCTCGATAACTCAGAATTTCAACAGAAATTCATACTTAATCGAAATATGTCGATTAAGGAGTTTGTGGAACTCTTGTGCAATTTGGAACTCTCAGAGGATTGGAACAAGACTCAGAACGATGGTCACGCGGTTAAAATTAAGGTTCAGCTCGAAAACGTATCAAAGGCTCGAGAAAGGGCGAGAGAAACATAAAAACCAAGTTGCCGGAAAAATGGGCAACTCCTTATGCGCAGCGATTTTGTTTTGAATACTCCCTCCTATTTTTAATAAATGTCGTTTTCAGAAGTTGCACAATAATTAAGAATATTTTTTTTTTCAATAATAACCCTCATTAATGAGGATAGAGATGGATGTTTTGAGAAAAGATGGAGAGTGAATATGAAAAGACGTAGTGTATTTATTAGTTAGATAAGGGTAATAATGGAAAAATATGTACAAAATAGCCAAAACGACATTTATTTAACAAATGATCAATTAAACTAGAATGACAAATAATAAAAATATGAGGAAGTATAACTTTTGGTAGAAAACTCGAATCAAAGTGATTCTTTCTCCAAAACAATCTCAAGACACAGAACTAAAACTATCATGAAGACGTTGAGAGCATTCGAGCCAGTTAAAGAGCTGAACACAGATTTACACAACAAACATGCTGTAAATTTTCAGAAAAAATGATTGCATGACGTTCGTATTTTTTACATAATTTTCAATATAAAAATGATAAACACTGGATTCTTTTTCCTCAAGAAGGATAACACATTGAAATACAGTTTATGTGAAGACTCCATAAAGAGGCAGCAAGGTTTCAGTATTCAAAAACAGCAAAGAACGCATATCACATACAACCGCAAAAAAAGAGAAAAAATGGACGCGCAATCGCCAAACTTTGGCTATAACTTTCAGCACAAAATTGATAATCACCTGATTCTTGTTCTTGTTCTAGATGAAACCTAAGAGATTGAACTTCAAATCACCAGAAGAGTTCAAAATCATTTGATCGATGTTTAGGGGTCAAAACAGCGACCAAACAGCAATCAGTGAAAGGTTTTCAAAGAGGGCCGGGTTTTCAAAGTCCAACTCTTAAACGAACGACAATCACGCGACAAGGGCTCGGATGACAAATCAAGGCTCGAATTTATTCGATAACACCTAAGCAATAAACACAACAAAAGAAAAGGGCTCAATAACACAACGAGAGAGTTCCAATTTTCACGTCAATTTCTCACAAAGCAACACAAGTAGTGAACCGAAAATAAACCAACCACAATGAACGGATTTCGATTCAACGAATACGATACGACCAACGAAATAAACCAATGATAATTAACACGAGCTCGAAAATAAAAGATGGTTCGACTCAGTTGAACAATCGGACAAAACGAACGGTACGAACGGGGACTTTGGGACTCCTCGAATGAAAACTCGAAGGTTCGGAACCCTATCGAACACCTCGTGAACGGGCTCGTCGGCGATGGAGGACCTCAGGAAAAGGCAGGGCTGCTGTGTTCCCGGCTATGGGTGCCCTCGGACGATCAAGACGCCGACGAGAAGGAAGGCCCGCGACTGAACAGAGATGGCCCAAGGATTTTCTTCTTTTTTTAATTCGAACGTTTGCTGCTGTTCGCTTCAAGTTCTCCTCGGCAGCAGGTCGCGTGGGAACTGGACGGAGGTGATGGAGCTTCTCGGAGAGGACGCCGGCACTGGAGTTCTCGCTGGAAAAATATGGCGGAGGGCTGTTCGGGAAAACTGAGTACGAGGACTTGGAGCTTCGCCATGAAAGCTGCTCGCGGGTGCTGGGCTCCAAGTGACGGCTGTGTGAGTTGCTGGCCGGACAGGGATAATAGGTCGCCGGTCGAAGTATTGTTGTTTACCGTGAGGGGGTTGCTGCTGTGCGCGGAGCCAGACAGGGCTGGTGGCCACGCTCGGCGGAGGACAAGGCTCGTCGGGGAAACGCCGCTCTGCCGTCGGTAATTCAGTCGCTGCTCCTTGGTCGCCGGCGGAAACTTGCAAGAGGGAGAGACGGGTTGCGGCTGAATTTTTGTGAGAATTTCAAAGGTTTTTTCTTTTTTTTTTTATCAGAGTTTTAGAGAGAGAGAGACGAGGGTGTTATTTCGTACGCGGCTGATGAACTGAAACCCTCGGCCTGAGAGGGAAAAGAAAGAGCTAAAATATATCCTAATTGGACTGGTGTTTGAATCATAAATAGGCCGAATTTTCAAATCAAATGGGCCGTCAAATATAGTACAAAAGGGCCGAATGTAATAGGTCTAAAAGGAAAAAATGACGCCCCATGACCTCCTCCGTCAACATTTTACAGTTAAGTGATCATTCACTATTTACACAAATCTATACCTTTTAGATCTTTTAATGGACACAATTAGTTTTTATTTTATTGTGTGAGTTTGTATTTGTTTTGATATTTTAAATTGTAACCATTGTTTTAATTTATTCTAATCGGCGTTTTAAATTGTTGGACGGTTTTTTATTTGTATGTATTTTATAATTCTGTAACTGGCACGCCTTTTCATGATAGTTATTATTTCATCTGCAATTTCTTTTGCTGTTTCTTCTCTTTCATTTCGTCAGGCTGACCTTTTTTTTTGCTGTGTTTTTCATTTCTTCTTTGATTTCTATAGTTTTTAACTCGATCTGCAGATAAAAAATTTTCGAATCTCGTGGTTAAGTCCAAGAAAAGAAAAAAAACTGTCAAACATCCTTCCAAGTCTCCTGTTTTAAAAAAAAAAATGCCAGAGAAAAGGAAGAAAGGGAAAGAAGTTTCTTCTTCAGATTATGTTTCTGATTCGGGTTATAGCGAAGAATCTAGTGATTCTTATGAATTTGTATCTGATGGAGACGATGATTCATTTGTTAGGTTGTAAGAGTCATAACCCTACAAGAAGGTCTCAAGGGTTTCTCGTTTGGAGAAAGGGTCCAGGACGAAAGATATTAAACGAAAAAAATCTTATGTCAAGAAGCGTCCTCACACATAGATAATCTGGTTCCTTAGAGCGAATTGAAGGTAATTTTTTTTTTATTTTTTATTTTTTGTCTGTTGATTTAGTTTCTGCGTGTTACTTATTCTTATTTTCATTAATTTATTTTTTATTACAGGAATGGGATCTTTTAGTAAAAGATTCAATTAATATTGAATGTAGGCTACCCAATTTTAATCGTTATGAAACGATTCAAACGATTAGGAACATGTCGACTGAATCTCAACTTGAAATGTTGAAAAAATCGTGCTTTGGAAAGTTTTTTGAATTGCCTTTTGGTATTGTTCAGTCTCAACTTGTGCATTTGGTTCTTCTTAGACAAGTTTTTCAAAAAAATTCTGAGGAACTATGGGTTGATTTGTGTGGGAAGATAATGAAATTTGGAATTGGGGAGTTCTCTGTTCTTACTGGTCTAAAGTGTGTTGGAAATGCGAGTAAATTGTTATATCAATCTACTGAAGATGGTTTGTTCAACAAATTTTTTGCATCTGGTGGTCGTTTTACCTGGGAAGCTATTCGTTTGAAGTTTATATCTCGGTGTTGGTCTAATGACAGTGAGGCTGTAAAACTTGCTATCCTTCATTTTCTTGCCAATTATCTCATGGGTAATGAACTTTCTGTTGGGTTTGATAGGAACTATGTTGCTATCATTGATAGTGAAGATTGTTATGATTATCCTTGGGGTAAAGAGATCTTTGAATATCTTATTTCGCATATTGTCGGGAAGATTTCTGAAACTAAGACGTCTGTTTACAATAAGTGTCGGGGTCTAATCGTGGTGCTTCAATGGTGGTTTTATGAAATTTGTAACAATGCATCGGGTCTTATTTCTGTTAAAGTTGATAGTTTGAATTCTACAATCCCCCGGATGTTGAAGTGGAAGGCTAATAATTCATTTGGCAAAGAAAATCTTGTTCGAAAGTTCTTCTCCCTTCGTTATGATCAGGTTATATATCCCTTTATTTATTCATCTATTATAGGATTTTAGATATTGATTATATTGATGTTTTGTTTTCAGTTTTTTTTTCTGTTTTTTGATTTCTGTTTTTGTTTTGTTTATTTTGTGTGTGTGTGTATATATATTCTCAAATCTTGTTCCAACTGTGGAAGAGATTGAAAGTTTGCATCTGGATAATTTCTTGACTGAAAAAAACGAATTCATTCGTCATGAAGATTGTAGGCGGAATGACAGGTTTGCACCTTCTTCTTCGAACAACTATGATGACCAATTACGTAAGATTTCGATCGGTCAGAGGCAATTGCTGGATGATTTTAATAGCTTGAAGCTATTATGTCATAATTTTTTTGCAAATGTTTTTGAAGATTTCAAAGTTGTTCACTCTACGTTGAAGGTAAAGTTTTATGTATCCTTTTCTATGCATATATTTCCTTATGAGCCTATACTTATGTACCAAAAGAAATATAAGATATGTACCATATTTGAGTTTTTTTTTAAGGTTAATAATAATTACTAATGCTTACTTAATAATCATTTTTTTTTCTCACTACATTAGGGTCAGAGTTCTGGTGATGTTGCAATTTTTGAAACAAACGGGGCTGAAGAGGCAAATGTGGATAAGGTAAGTTACTCAATTGACCTATTTCTTATGTTATTCATCCTCATCTTTGTATTTTAGAGTATATGTTTGGGTTTAAAATTATAGTGGGAGGAGCTAGACACTGGTTGATCATGTGTTATTGCCTATGTATACTGAGATTGGTGGTGTGGGGCATTGGATACTTGGAAGACTTTCTATTAAATAAAGGATTCTATTTATCTACAATAGCCTAAGGTCACCACAGATTGATGTTGATATCCCTAAGGTGGTAGAATGCTATGTTGTTTTGCTTCCTTTCTTTCTTTATTTGGTTGGTATTCAATACAAAAGGGAGGAGCTCTTTACTGGTGATGGTCCTTATGTGGGAAAACAACTAACGGACCCGCTTGAGGTTGTATTTGTTGATAACCTGCCTTCTCAGGAACGAGGGTAATTCCTTTATTTATGTTATTCTTTTTATTTTTGTACTATAAGTCATGTCATTTTTATGTTTTTTTAATGTCTTTTATATGTTATGCTTTTATTTTAATAATCATGTGTGTTTCTTTTCAGTGATTGTGGTGCTTTTGTGGCTGCATTTGCTGAGTACTTTATGAGAGGTTTGGAGATTCCTTCCGAATTTGATGTTGAGTTCTTTCGTAATCATTATGCTTATTTACTTTATGAGCATGGATGTAAGAAGTTGGCTGAAGGTTATGAAAGTGAGGATCAATATCCTAGAGTTATGCCTCCGGATGATAGGAAGTCGGTTCATAGATGTTGGCTTAATTTGTAGGTTTTAAAATCACATGTGCTGTTTAAAAACACATTTGGTTTTTTGTATTTTGTTTTAAGTTTTTGTTCTACTTTGGTTTCATGTCTTTTGTTACTTTTGGTTGTAATTGGTGTTTTCATTTTCGGTTGAAGACTGAATTCTGGTTCTCTTGTCGCTTTTTTTTTATTGGTTTCCTTATGTATGAAAAATGGATACTGTTTGTTAAGGTTATTTTCATGTTTATTTTTTATTTTTATTTTTATTTTTTTTATAACTGGTGCTCCTGCAATATTAATGAAAACATTGCACGTAATGTTTGTTGTTTTACTTTTTAAATAACCTCTCAAATTAGCATGTCTATTTGTATGCTGAAATAACAAAGACATGGAAATATCTGTAAGACATAGTCATCAAAGAAGTTGATATTTTATACCAACCAGAAGTTTTATGATGAAAGCAATTACCAAAAGGAGAAAACAATGGCTTGAGGACATTAACAGGACTCAGGTCCATATAACCTACTTTAAGGTCAAGCATCTGTATAAGCATGAATGTAATGTTGACACCAGCTACAGCAAAAGGATATTCCTACAATGCACGAGCACCTTCTTTTTTCTGAAGTAGATATTGGAAGGTTTTTTATGAGGAATAACAGCACATTGGAGAAGATTGATATTTGTAATTACACAAGGGTAAAAAAGAATTTATTTTAATATTATGTTTTTTCTTATCTGCTTGAAATAACTTTCTCAAATCAACATGTCTTTTTTTATTTGTATTTTATGTTATTATAAATTTCAGTCTTCATTTTGATTTAAATATTATTGGTGTCCTTATTTGCCTGAAACAAAATTCATAAAAAATGCTAAACTAGTAGGTTCATAAACACATTAATAATTCAGTAAAACTACTAATTAATATTTCAAGTTAAACAAACATAATAGTACTACAAATCAAAATTTCACTTTTTTCCTCCCGTGCTCCCATGCTGATTTGATCCTTTTCTTTCTTTTCCTTCTTGCAGCTGATTTTCCTTCTGGAGGTATTACTGATTTCTCATCTTTACTGCTTAATGAGTCATTATGTAAGTCAAAATCTATTGGCAATACACATGTCTCATATGTAGCCAAGAAAGTGCTTGTGTAGTAAAAATGAGAACAATAATCCTCAGGCTCTTCTTGTCTCTCTCTAATCACACTCACTGCATGTGAATATGGTAGTTCGTCCATTTGAAACCTATTGCATGTGCAGGATTTCTCTTTTAGGTTCACAATGAAAATTTGAATTCCATGATTCACTTTGAATATGTCATCACTTGCTTGTTGTACCTGTTTTTAATTATAATTTTTATTTTAAAATATTATTGCTCAAACACAATAAATTAATAAATTAATATAAATAAATAAAAATTTTACTTAGTGTGAACTTCATAGAGTCTTTATAATTTTCTTCAAGCATTTTTTGCCCCAACTTCGTGAGCTTTGTGAAAGTGAATTATGCTTCTTTCCGATTCCGGACATTCCATTTCTATTGCATCACACGAACGCTATCTAACAAAACTGTTATTGGAAGATCTCGTGCAACCTTCAGGGCAGAATTTATTGACTCGGCAGGATTTGAAGTCACCACTAGAAATCTATTTGACTTACAATGGATTCGAGACCATTTTTCAAATCCAATTTTCGTCAAATATACCACTGCTTCTTTGTTTGCTTTACACATATTTTTCATGTGATGATTAAAATCATCCAATGTGTATGCATATGCTGCTTCAAAGAATGCTCCTTTTACTGCTTCAAGGTTTACTTTGTATCTTGATATTATGTTCCGAGACAAGTAATATGCACAACAACAATGTGCAACCTCTAAAAATACCTGAAAAACATCAAAATAAAAGTTAATTTATTTATAATACTTTAGTTTTAATAAGACAATACATTTCTTTATCATATTTATATTTTATGTTGCTTCTCTCTTTTTCTACAGTTTCTTCTAAGTTGTTTTTAAATTTCGTTCCCAATTAAATCATATAAATTACTTAAATTAATTATAATACATATATACTTTATTACCTTTGAAACGGCCTTCCTGATGCTTTTGTGTCGATCAGATACAATGCATAGATCTTTTCTTTCTGAAAGTGTTCTCTTCAATAATGTAAAGAACCATTCATATGCATTGGTATTTTCAGAATCAACAACTCCATATGCAAGTGGGAGAATGTGCCCTGCTGCGTCTTGGGTGCTTGCGGTTATTGGTGTTCCTCCATAGGTTGCTTTGAGGAATGTACCGTCCACAATTATAATTGATCGACAATGTTCCCACCCCTTTATAGAAGCCTCCTCTGATATGAACACATATTCAAATCTCATTCTCTCGTCTGTCTTAAGCTTTATGACTGATCTTGGATTAGCTTCAATTAGCTTTTTCAAATATCTTGGCAGCATACCATAAGATTTAAATGGATGACCATAAACCTTTTCTAATGCATTTTGTCTTGCTCGCCAAGCTTTCTTGTATGAAAGTGTCACCCCGTACATATGCTTCATTTCTTGCATATAGTCGGCCGGGGTACAATTTGTTTTCAAGTTTTGGAATTTCTGCTGCATGAAAAATCCCACTATATCAGCTGTGGCCTGATGTTGATCATTCATCCTCTTTCCGAAGCTGCATGTATGTTCGTTGGACACTTTTCGAATTTTGAAAGTTGGAGCACAACCTATTCTTGAAGCATTCATTCTCCAGGTACAATTGGTGTCAACACAATTGATGATATATTGTCTTTGACAAGACTTTCTCACCATAAACTGAAATTGATGTTTAATGGCATACAAGCTAATGACCTTCTTCAGTTCATTTTTGTCTGAAAATGTTTGCCCATTTCAAAGCACCATCAAGATTTGCATTTTTTTGAAAAAATCCTTCACTTCTGTGTTTCTGCTCAATGAGCTGAAGGCTTTCATCTGTTATTTCAATAAGATTTTTTGCACATCTTTTTGAACATTCCCCAAAATCTTGACTTGCAGTTATTACTTTCTGAAAAACATTATACTCTATCATGGGAATTGGTTGTACCATGATTTGGCGTGCTTCATTTCGTTCTGTACATGGCATGCTCGTAATGGAAAGGCACTTCTTTGGCTCGAATGATACACAAAGCGGCAGTTTCGTGTAATCATTTTCTTTTTTTTTTCAGCTCTTTGTAAAACCGTAGGCTGGTCTCATTGCCTATCTTTATCGGTTTGTGGCCTTCCTCTACTTGGTACTTTATTACCAATCTTTCACCAGATGGAACATCTTGTACCACTTTTTCCACAGCTTGCAATAAATCATCAAAACTCTCATTCTCTTTATGGAAGACACCACAAATTTCATATCCTTCATAACTGACTTCATTAATCCACTGTCTATTATATTGGATAAAAAGAAGATCATTGCCATCTTATCTGCATAGATTTGTAACAAACGAAATTAATTTTTTTATTAATTTTTTTTTTGTTGAATTCTATTTCATACATATCAAATAAAACATGTGATTCTGTGAATCAGTTTTTATAATCTCGATTCTGTGAATTATGATTTCGGTTGGTCAGATGCAATTGGTCGCTGATTTTAATAGCTTGAAACTATTATTTTCACGAGGAAGATAGGTCTGGAGCTCCTGAACAGAACCGCTCCCGGTAACCACGAGTTCCCTGCTCTGGAAGTGGAAAGCTAGTGAACGTCTCTCCTTGAAGGTTTTTTTCTGCAAAAGTGTTTGAAGAGTTCAGAATGAATCAGGATTTTTTTTTTTTGTGANTATTTTTAATTTTCTACTAATTTTTCGTGTTTGATCAATTATGTCCAATTTTGGAGTATTTTTTGGAAATGTGTGTGAGTGGGAACGGTTGTGGAATATCATTGTTAAACGGGAGCAGTTACAAAATTTTCCCGTCTAAAAGGCACAAGATTTTTTAATGAAAATTGGGCCGAATTAATTAGCAATAATGGGTCGAATATAAATTTTAAGGCTCACTTGAAAAACGGGTCAAAAATAGGACGTGATTTCTCCAAAGATTTTCAAACGATTTCAATTCGAACGACGTCGAACGAACAATCTAAATAACAACTAAAATTAATTAAACCATACACATAACATCAAAAAAATAAAAGCACTCACATAGAATGAGGGCAATCACATTATAATAAAAACGAGCACATAATAAAATTAAATGCAAGTAATAATAAAACCGAGCAAGCAATTTGAAAATTAAGTCATGAATATAAAAATGGAAATCAAGCATTGCACATAAAATAAAATAAAAAGTAAGCAAATAAATAAAATAAGGCATAGCAGTTAAACTACAAAAAAAATGCAGATAATTAAATAAAATGTGAGAAATTACGCGATCGAAAGGGGCGCTACATCAGGTGTGGAGAGGGATTGGGAAGAGTGGGCAGATTGAGAAAAGAGCTGAACTTATTGAATAGAAAGGAGGAAGAATACATGAGTCAAAAAGCTAGAGTGCAATGGATTAAGCAATGAGACTCAAACACCAAGTTTTTTCATGCTCATACTATACAAAGGAAAAGACAAAATGCCATAAGTAGGCTAGTGGATTATGAGAATAGAGAAAGGGTGACAGAAGAAGAGGTTATCAAGCATATATGTGAATAATATGAAAAGTTGTTCAAAACCGAGGGATCAAGTGGGGGTGAGAAGATACTGCAGCTGATACCCTCCACAATTATAGAAGAGTTAAACTCAGAACTAGAGGCCCCAATTTCAGACGAAGAAATAAAGGATGCCCTTTTCAGTCTTGATCCTGGGAAAGCTCTTGGACAAGATGGTATGAATACTCTCTTCTTTCAAAAGTTTTGGTCCATTATTAAAAATGATTTATGTGATGTTGTTGTCAGTTTCTTTGAGTCTGGTCTTTTACTTAGAAATTGGAATCATACCTTGATAACATTAATCCCTAAATACTTGAATCCTTCCACTCTGAAGTATTTGGACCCATAAGGCTTTTTTGGTTTTTGGTTATAAGGTGATTTCTAAAGTGTTAACTGTGAGACTTAAGAATTTTCTTAAGGTGTGTGTCAGTGCAAACCAAGGTGCTTTTATTCCTAGAAGGTAGCTTATGGACAATGTAATTATAGCTCAGGAGGCAGTACACTTTCTGAATAGACATAGAACTTGTAGGCATGGGTTTATGTTGGTGAAGCTAGACATGGAAAAAGCTTATGACACAGTGGAGTGGAGTGTGTGAGGAGAGTGTTGTTAAAAATGGGGTTCATTCAAAATTTGTCAAGTGGGTTAGGGCTTGTATATCTTCAACTTGTTTTTCCTTTAATCTTAATGGAGATGTGACAAGTTTCATTTCAGCTTCTAGAGGAATTAGACAAGGGGGCCCCTTGTCCCCTTATCTATTTATTCTTATCTCTGAAGTTTTCTCTAGACTTATGAATTTTGAGGTGGATAGGGGAAATCTCAAGGGTCTGAAAATTGCTAGGAACGGTCCACTTATTTCTTACCTAATATTTGCAGATGACACCTTGGTACTTTGCAAAGCAGATGCTAACCATGCTCAGTGATGGGTCTACTTCTAGATCTAAAGAGAACCGATGGATTTGAGCTCAGATCTGCTTGAACCGCCTCTGAATCTATGTTAGACCGCGAGAATACCTGCAAAAACTCAGCGCCGGAGGTGTTTCCGGCGTAGAGCCTCCGACGCTCAAGTCAGTATGAGAGTGATGAAGGGATGCTGTGCAGCAGCTATGAGGAGAGAGTGGAATGAATGAGAGTTAGGGTTTTAGGGTTACCTAATCTCCTTTATATAGGAGTGAGTACTTACTTGAAGTACCTAGAATGCCCAAGTCGGTGGACCTAAAAGGTCAAAAATGCCCCGGTCGATTCGTATCTCTTTATTACTGAGTCATCACAAGATTCCTTCTTATCCTTTGGAGTATGTAGAGCTTTAAGTATGTTGTAAGTGTGATGAGTCGTCATCACATCTTTGGTCTTCGAGGTATTAGAGTCGACCTCGAGAGCTGGGAGGTCGACTTATGATCATATGAGGATTCGAAGGCTACGCTTGGTTAGTTCTCTCGAGTGGAAGTCGTTTTCAGAGAATCGTCTTAGTGAAGTCGATTGCTGGGAGTCGACTTAGAGTATCTGGATGCTCGGAAGTTACGCTCTTGTTGTTCTTCTTATACAGATGTCGACTAATGAAAGTCGACAGACTGAGGTCGACTTGTGAGAGAGTCGACTAGACAGATTTCTGCCTCTTCTCGGTCGCTCTTTGTAGAGTCGGCTTTATGGAAGTCGACTTGCGTATGTCGATGGGAACATATCGTCCTGTGGACGGTCTGCATGATTACCCGGTCGAGTTAGGGGCTTTAGAGCCGGTATATGGTAGTATGGTTATATCATCTCCCCCCCAAAAAAAAAAATTACTCTAAGCGGACTAGAGCTTAAGAGTAAATTTGGTGATCGATTACTTTTATTAGCTTTGCTCGTCTTTCATTCCTCGACATCGAGGCCCTTGTATTGTAATCCTACGGTGCTGTTGTAAGACCTCATGATTACCTTCTAGATAATTCTCTGACCGCCTGACATCTTTTCGAATTTCGAAATTCAAATCTATACTTATCACATCACTTCAACTCCGCCGCCTCGTATTTTGTGCTTTGTTAGGGACCATCAGATCTTATATTGATCTAACGGCTGGCAATCATCTACCTCCTTTATAAGTATCCCTCCCTTCTTCAAAACGTCACTTTTTCGCATTATCTTGCTCTCTGAAACTTCTCAAGCTTCTCCGGTGCTCTCCGTGTTTTTGGCTTTTCCGGCGCTTCTTTCTTTCCGGCGACTTCAGATCTTCAAAGTTCTCTAACAACGACCATGTGTAAGTTCATTTCCTTCTAAATTCTTGCTGGTTCTTTACTTGTATTATTTTTGTGGATTCCCGATCCTTTCTGGATTTCTCTGGGTTAGGGGGCCTTGGATGTTCTTCGTGTTCTTATCCTCTTGTGCAAATCTTCGTGTTACATCTTCTTCTCTTGAAACTTTCTTTGGATTTCTTGTTTGTCCCTGCTTTGCCACATTGACTTTCAATATAGGAGTCGAGTTCTCATGATTTAAGTTGTTTTAGGTTTGGCACTCGTCGACACGCACCGTGTCTTCCTCGTCTTTATGATTAGGTTAAGTCGAGCACCACTATGTGGCTCCACTTATTTCGGATCCATTTCCCCACAGTTACCTTCCTATTTCTCTGGCTCGACTCGTGATGATCTCCTCGAGTCGACTTGCCCCATGTTGGTTGTGTTAACTTTCGCTTCATGTTAATTTCTCTCTTTCGTTTTAGATTCCGACTCGGACTCTACCCCTGATACTATTGAATGCTTGATCGATGAAGGTCCCCAATCGTCCGATTCTATGCAAGTGGTCGGCTTCAAACTGACCGATCAATCACATAACTCTCGTTATTCGGATGTATCCTCTTTTGGTATCGACCAAGACGCTTATAGACAAGCGTGGATGTCGGGTGTCTTGACGGAAGACCCCAAGTCTTCCCGAGCTAGAGGGTCTCCCCGTCTCGACCTCATTCCCCGAGGTATTTCCCTTAGGATCTTAGTTTTCCTGTATATAGAACAAGTCCTTCTTCTTTACCCATCATTGCGCCTCCTCTCGAGGTTCGAGATGTTGTTTCTATAGCATGTTTAGCTACGTTAGCTGTTTTAAATCCTTTTTGTTATGCCTCTGCAGCCGAGGTCGAGGGCTTTAGAGTGTACAGCGGTCTTCCTGCCGACTGGGAACTAGTCGTTCCCAAACCGACTGACGACTTTGCTAATCCTCCACCTGGCTTTTATACTTTTTTTATCGACCAAGTGTTGTTCGGTCTTCGTTTTCCCATTCAACCCAAACTTCGCGCTATTAGTGACCTGTACAATGTACCCATAAATCAGTTTTCTCCTAATGCGATTCGTATCATGATCGCTTTTATTGTTGTTTCCAAAATAAAACTTAGATATTTTTCTCCGGAGTTTCTTTTTTACTGTTATAGCTACCGATTCGTAAAAGACGCCCATTGCTTGGGTCGTCGTGCTGGTGTCACTTTCCTCGACGACCTTTC